AGGGACACATCTGGGGACTCTATAGGGACACGTCACTGTCCCTATGGAACTGGGGCCCTATAGGGACACATCTGGGGACTCTATAGGGACACGTCCCTGTCCCTATGGAACTGGGACCCTATAGGGACACATCTGGGGACCCTATAGGGACACGTCACTGTCCCTATGGAACTGGGGCCCTATAGGGACACGTCCCTGTCCCCTCTCCCGGGCCGGGGGTCCCACTGGCGAGGGGTGACAGCGACTTGGGAACATCCCAGGGCTCTGGAGAGTCCCGGCCGGGAGAATTCCCTGATCCCGGGGGTCGAGCTGGAATTTCCCGGTGGGAGAGGCGGGATCGGGGATTTGTGGGGGGGCTTGGTCGAGGAATCGCCCCGATCCTAAGGGATGGGAGTCGGGAATCCGGGCAGGGCGATCACCCCAAAAACATCGGGATTGGAGAGAGGGGGGTTCAGGCAGAGGGATCGCCCCGATCCCGGGGGGGGTCCGGGTAGGAGGATTCCCCGACCCCAAGAGATGGGAGTCGGGAATGCGGGCAGGGGGATCACTCCGATCCTAAGGGATGGCAGCCAGGGGGGTCCAGGCGGGTTTTTCCCGGTTCTGGATGAGCCTGGGAGGGATCGCCCCGATCCCAAAGAATGGGAGACAAGGGAATCCGGCCAGAGGGATCGCCCCGAAAACATCGGGATGGAAGAAAAAGGTGCGGGAGGGATTTTCCCCGTGCCGGAAGAGCCGGGGAGGGATCGTCCCGATCTCCCGGGATGGGAGACAGGGGGGTCCGGGCAGAGGGATCACCCCGATCCCGAGGAATGGGAGTCGAGAATCCGGGCCGGGGGATCTTCCCCAAAACACCGGGATGGGAGACAGAGGGGTCCGGGCAGGCTTTTCCCGGTGCCGGAGAAGCCGGGAAGGGAATGTACCGATCCCCCGGGATGGCAGAGAGGGGGGTCCGGGCAGGGGGATCGCCCCGATCCCAAAGAATGGGAGCCGGGGGGGGATCAGGGCGGGTTTTTCCAGGTTCTGGAGGAACCGAGCAGAGGGATCGCCCCGGTCCCAGCGGGACGGGCGGAGGCAGCGCGGGGGAAGGAAGGAAAGCTCCGGGCTGTGAAAAGAACCGAGCTCCCGATTTTCCCCGCTCCCTCGGGGACACGCGCGGGTTTCCCGGTGCTTCCCGGCTGCATCCCCCGATCCCAACGGACCGGACGCTCGGTGTGGAGAGGGAATTAAAGCAGAGCCGGGAGCTGCCCGCGGGGAGCCGGGCGGGGCGGGGGCAGCCGGTACCTATGGTGGTGATGACGGTGATGGCGAAGTAGAAGGAGCCGGCGAATTTCCACTGGACGCCGGCCTTGTGCGGCTTGAGCTTGAGCACGACCCGCTCGAGCTCGCGGTAGCTCTCGGCGCTCAGGTTGTACTTTCTCTTGAGCTCCTGGCTCTTGGCCTCCAGCCGCCGCTTCTCCGCCGTCTCCGCCTCGGACTCGAGCGCGTCGAAGACGGCGGCGCCCACCAGCAGGTAGGTGAAGGTGCACATGATGAGCGCCAGCGTCCGCACGTTCTGCCGCTTCATGGTGCGGCGGCTGCGGGGAGCGGCTGCGGGGCCGCCTGGGGCATGGCGGCAGCGCCCGGGCACGGCGGGGAGGCGGCCGAGGCGCGGCTGCGGCGGCCGCGGCGGCGGCGGCGGGGCCGGCGGAGG